CACATATATAAAATAAAAGAGCCCCCTCCCCTGCTTACGTTTTTGCAGGGAGCAAGCACAATCTTTGGTGATCCAGTGGTTGATTAGTAAGGTCTGCACCTTTGGTTGGTGCAGGCCTTACTAACCCATCCTTTCGACCATCCCGCTTGTAAACGCCAGGTTAAGGATTCCTGCTGCAGGAAAACGCAAGTTCCTGGCACAGAAATCCCTAATCACACCTAAACTTACAGGTAAATTACTGGTTGTGGGCGGTGTGCGTATTTCTGTGTGTGTGTGTGTGTGTGTGTGTGCGGGAGGAGGGGGGATTTCTGTGTGAATGAATGTGTGAATCTGTTGGTCCTCTAAGATTAAAAATAAAACCTGTGGGGGGGGGGGGGGGAATTAACACAAATACCGACATCACTCACAGAAATCCTGCTAATACACGCAAAGCATCACAAACACACATACTCACATTATAAACACACGCACACATGAACACTGGTACTGTATATAGTTAAAATTTTTTTTGAAGTATTTGGGAAGCGTTCCCCATGGGAGAAAGAAATGTTTCCAGTGGCCCCCAAGTCAATTGAGTTTGAGACCCCTGCTGGAAACCATGACTTAATGACATTTCAGCACTATGTTTTCAATTAGCTGTTGTCTTTCATCACCACTTGGAAAAAGTTCCATGGATGCCGATACAAATTGATGCAACATAATTCTTCACTCACCACGTTGTTTTCTCTGTCCCCCCAGAACATGCCGCGGAGACGAGTGAGCGTTGCCGTAGTTCCAAAATTTAACTTGCTGAACATCCCTGGACAGTCCCCGAACTCATCCCCTATCCCAATCATGTCTTCTCTAGTAAGTGTTGCCTGGATTCAGTTGGTGGTGTAGGGATCTGTGACACCTAAGTAGTCATTGGATTGTCCATCTGTATTCAATGCATATTCTGATATAATTACCTCTTCTCTAGGCGGAATCACCCAACGGCAGGAACAGTCTACCCACCACCCCGACACTTTCTCCGCTGGCAGAAAAGTAAATTCTTGATTTCATCTCGGTGTAGATGTACACGTAGTTAGGAAGGACTGGGCCGGAGGGCCTTTGCCATGTAAACCATTACTAATTGTCTATCATGAATGCAGCTGCTAGACTCATCCACCTAACCAAACGCTCAGTGTCTGCAACCCCTCTGCCAATCCCTGCACTGGCTTCCATCCTCCACCCCCCTCTGCCAATCCCTGCACTGGCTTCCATCATCCACCATCCTCTGCCAATCCCTGCACTGGCTTCCATCCTCCACCCCCCTCTGCCAATCCCTGCACTGGCTTCCAATAGCCCAAAGCATAACATTCAAAATATTAACAACCACTTGCAAAGCCATCCACGACGCTGCACCCGGCTATATCTCCAACCTTGTCTCAAAGTATCACCCTAATCGTCCCCTCTGCTCTCCAAATGACCTTCTGCTTTCCAGCTCCTTCGTCAACTCCTCCCATGCTTGCCTCCAGGACTTCACTAGAGTCTCTCCCATCCTCTGGAACTCTCTACACCAACCTGTTCGTCTATCTCCCACTCTGACTGCCTATCCCACTTCAAGCTGACCACTGAACTATCACTTTCTCATACAATTCATCCCCACACAGCTACCTCCTCATGTATCACTTCGTCCTCCCTTTTAGATTGTAAGCCCTCAGGGGCAGGGCCCTCCATACCATCTTGTCTTGAATTGTATTGTAATTTTAATGTCTTCCTTATATTGTAAAGCGCTGCGCCAACTGTTGGCGCTATATAAATACTATGTAATAATAATAATAATTATTAGATCTGTTGGGCTGGTGGCCCTTTGTGGAAACACTTAAACATTCAGGCATCAATCACCCCACACATGCTGGGCATTATTTGGCTATCTGCTCCCCGTTCAGACCTGTGATCACAACATCAGGCAGAGGGAAGTCTTCTGGCACCGTCTTCCTTTGTTGCTCTGAGATGTCATGTGACTGAATGCAGAGAGCTGCAAAGTAAGCTGAAGGTGCATCACAATCAACCATGTCCTTTAGAATCTTCCACTTTTGCTATGGTGCCTCATTGATTGGTGGGCATAGTGGAACCTGGTGTTCCTATCACAGCACCCTTCCTCAGTACTCAATACTCCTCTAGAGCCCTCAGCTCTGATGCAAGCAGTGGGCTGGCCCTTGGGAGGAGTTATGCAAATATCAGAATGCCTTGATGTGTAGTTGTAGGTCTAGGGGAGTGGGCGTTCCCGTGCAGGCTGTAGTCTTCATGATTGAAAGAACTGAAATCCAAGGAATGAAAGGGATGGACCAGGGAGGGGAGGAAAGCACTAGATGATTCTGGACGTCCTCCATCCAGGAAATGAGGCGGGCTCTATCTGACTTGCTGCAGCTTCTAATGCACATTGTGAGCAGCTCACAGTGTGCAGTGAAATCATAGGGAGCAATTGCAGTCCAGGAGGGGAGCCGGGACAAGACTGAAGGGAAGGATGGAGGTCGCCTTTAATCATTATCGCAAAAAAAATTACAAATGACCAACCACATTGCTTCAATATCTGCCCGGAGTTCACCATTAAACATTACTCTTTACTATGATCTGAAGCCATTCACAGTCATTTGTCTCCATCCTTCTGATAAATGCTAAATACTTTCCGGTGAAGTAATGCGCAGTAGGCGGTGCCCATTAGGTGTAAATATAGCCCTACTTTTCCATGAAGAGAGATAACGGATTGATTGTGCCCAGCGTGGTACCCTTCTGCTTCGTGGCGTTCCTCAACGTCCTGTGATCTCACCGCCACTTTCCAAAGTTTAGATGAAAGTTCTCCATTAGAGAAAAGACACACCCGGCGGGGGAAAGCAGATTCCGGCGGCTGTTTTCCACTGGGAACACAGGATGTCGGGCCCTCTGGAAGTAAGGAGGGCCCCGCCCAGCACTCCCATGTATATGGAGGGTCACCCTCGGATATCAGGGCAGGAAATTGTTGCCTGCCCGAAGGAATGGACTTGCTGACATGACACAATCAATGGAACGGCCGAGGGCGAGATAAGCCTTTCCGATCGCTGAAATATTGGGAGAGGGGGTCAAGCGGACGTCTTTCAAGGGTCGGGCGTCACTTTATTTATTCTGAGACGTTGGAGCTCTAAATAGACAAACCGCATCAGCATGAGGTTTTTTCATAGTTGGGATCCGGGAGCCAGGAGATTTCTTAGAGCTCTGGGTGGGACGAAATCTCCATTCCTGGGTCCGTGGGTTAGTAGCGATCAGCACCTAATTGTGCACTTGTGCACATCCCTCATGAAGAGGGTGCTGGGATGCGTTCGGGGCCCCACCTGGGAGACAGGAGAGCTCCACGCGGTCAGTCAGTGTGGAGGCCAGTGCAGCGGGGAGCTTCGGGTTTGTGAAGCCTGTTGTGAGGATTGGCAAGTTATTGAGGTTGTCTGGGGGAACCAGACAGTGGCCCTGAGGATTGAGGCCCGGAGCAGTAGTGCTGCAAGAGAGAACTATTAAAAGACTGGGACACCGTGAGTGCATGGAACAACTCAAGTGATTGGTGAGCCAATATATGTATTCTGCTGCAGCAAGGTATTTTATGTTGGACTTCTTGATTGTCTGCCTTTTCAAAGAAAAATAAAGACTGTTCGTTAATGGAAAAACGCTGTGCGAGTGCTCTGTGAGCTCCCCAAAACTGAGAATAGTTTTATCGCATTCTCTGATGCATGCACAGGCTCTCGGAGTATCCACCGTAACAACTGATAGGAAAGGTTCGAGATTTAGTAGAACATAGCTGATCAATGTCTTATCTGTTGGTCCAGTGCAAAGTCTGGCGTGGAGATGGACGGATGTGAGGTCCGAACACCAACGGTGATACCGAACTCTTCCGAGGAGATCAGTGCTGAGGTGAAGGCAAAGATTGAAGAAGACGCCTATAACAAGGGGTAGGTTATCTGCTTATTGCTGGGTGTAAAAGATTTATGATGACGGTTGTTGCTTCGATCCATCCAAGGCTTCGTGACCCCAGGTATTCTCTGAACTCCTCCGAACCTCTGAATCTTCTTATCCTCTGATGTTAAGAGCAAATCAGGGCCAGGCCAATTTAAACTATGATCTATTTACATTCAGTCTGTCTGCAGTCTGCTCTGTACATTGTGGAGACGCATACGGTATCTTCAGACCAGGACTGATAAGAAACGATCAGGTAATCCAGCCTTTTGACTTAAAGTGGAACTATACTCCCCTCCAATGATGAAATGTCTTCAAGCTCCCTCACCAGTGCCATCATCTTCTCGTCGGCCTCTTCTGGGTTCAGGCCCTCTTTATTGGCCTGGCTTGGATGGCGTAGCTCCTTGGATGCGCAGCGGAGCTCATTCATCCTGGCATCCAGCCTGCTTCATGAGATGGGGAGAGGTGTTCTGTAGTCCGAACACGCTTCCTGATAACCTTGTTTCAGATAACACTGCAGAGTACACAGGGCAGCACATAGATTTCTGTCAGGATCAACTGCTATTTGCAATCCTCGAACAGATGCAGCCTATATGTTTATATTTAACAGACCAAAAGAGAGCAAATAAGAGAAGTTCATTGTTGGGGTTCACATGAATTTTAAGCGCTTGTATCTTTTGGGTCAGGAAAATCCGTCTTCGGCAGGGAGGATCCAGGCGCAGGAGAGGTGAACATGCAAACCATGGGTAGAACTATCATAAATGTAGGGATGCACCGATACCGATATTTTGGTATCGAGTACCAGTACTGATATTTTTTTTTTTCCGGTACTTGCCGATACCGAGTCCCGGAAGTCCCATTCAGGAAGCCGTGCAGCGTGTAAGGACGCGCCACCCGGCTTCCCGATTAGCAGGGAAGCCGTCCCCATGCTTCTCGTCACTAGGGGACGAGGGAGCATGAAGCCGGCTTCCCTGCCAATCAGGAAGCCGGGCAGCACGTCATTAAACTGATTTGCCGGGAAGCCGGTGACGAGAGAGCATAGAGAAGAACAGGCTGCTGCGTACAATCACACGCAGCACCTGTCCTTCCTGGGAACGCCGCACAGATCTGTACGGACCGACTCTAAGCAGTGTGAATGAGGCCTTAGCACCTAGGCACAAATGAGCGCTTACCCGCCCCCCTTAGCAGTGCTAAGGGGGGCGGGTATGGGGTGGCCCCACTGCAAGGGTTAAGAAAAAACCTGCCCAGAGTTCTGCTTTAAACACAATGCCAAATCTTCACAGACGTGACTTCACATTCCACACTCTCCTATGAACTGCTGCCATCACTTTTTGTTCTTTGTCAAGCAAAATATATGAGTCAGCTTCCGTTCTCTGACTTTCCCCTGGAAGCGGAGACTAGAACATCACACCTTCATCACAATCCCCCCGAGAGGACGGCAGTGTAAATGTGGCCACACTCGTATCGATATGATCATTACGATAACAATTGTAACCCGCTGACCCTCCATTCCATCAAATTACTGAGCATTCCATCGATTCCAATGCTGGCAAGTCGATCGGCCACGTGTGGAATTCTATTAATGGTTATCACCTGTGTGCCAAGCGACTGATCGTAATACAGATCGATCATTGTTAATCGTTGATGATTGATCGTGTTTTAGGTCGATGCTGTATGTTTTATCATTTGATACGCAAATGATAAAAATTTGTTACAAATCGCTGGTTTACAATCGCTCGTAACGACCTCAATCACAAATCAATATATTTGTATGGCCACCTTATGCTGTACAGGGTTCGATCACAACTCCAGGATTGATCGGGACCCTGCTATTCTAAAGTGGCCACCACTGTAATAAATAAAACATGGGCATCCTGTAAAAGGAGTTAAGGAAGAACTCCAGGAAATGTAAAAATTGAGGTGAATGGTCAAACTTGGACCCTTGCTTCCACCCTCCTATCCACCATCCCATCCACCATCACCACACTCATTTCTATCTGGCCTTGTAGTTCACCAGATTAATGTTCTGATTCACATCACGACTGGCTGTTGTTTCCTGGATGTCATCCATCCACCATGTTCTTCTCCCTTTCTTTACCTTGCTCTCCCTTTCATAGCTGCTCTCTAGTTGAGTTTCCTAAAATATGGCCACAAAATGGTTATTTTCTCCTTAATATTCCTTTCATCGGATTTGGATTTGTTTCATTATACAAAGATCCATTCCGGATCTTCATCTCTTACCACTGGTAGGGATGTGTTGATACTTCTAGTTCCAGGATGCAGCTTGCCCTACCCTACAGTAACCTCTCTATGGTAATAATGTTCTTCTAAGGTTTCAAGAAGGTCTGAAGAAGGTTCAGGGTCTTCAGGAATTTAAGGAGAACGAAGAAGATAAGATGATTGAATGTCCAACTGAGTATGACGAGGAAGAGAAGGAAGAATTCACAAAGCTGAGGAGCAGGTGGGACCACGGGGTACAAAGATAAATACTTGTCAGGGCAGATGGGGGCTTGTTAGATTTATGTATTCTCTTGTCTCAGACTGATTTGACTGTCAGTCTTGCAGTGTCTCATGGGAAATGTAGTTCCACCACAGCTGGAGGGCCGGAGTTTGCCTACCCCCGGTTTAGGGGGTTAAGTTAAGGGTTCAGAAAGGGTTGGGGTGAAATGATATTGATCTAGGGGCGGGGGGTTAGGGTGAAGTGATGGTGATCTAGAGGCGGGGGGTTAGGGTGAAGTGATGGTGATCTAGAGGCGGGGGGTTAGGGTGAAGTGAGGCTGATCTAGAGGCACGAGCAGTTCACCTGCACAGAGTAAGTCAATGTTTATTGATGTCTTCCAGTAAAATCGAGGAATGCATTGACTACGTCCACATGCTCTACCCGAAGCTACTGAACCACTGGAGCGCCCTCTCCATCGTAGCCGCTGCCATCGTCCTCCTGGCTGTCCTGCTGATCATTTACAACGCTGTTTCAACTTGCACTGAACTGCCAGACGGAGGACAAAACAAAGCCACCTGTTCCGTGTCCCAAAAGTACTCTTGGTGGACCTCAGGATCTCCACACAAGCAACGTAGACAATAGATGGTCTCTATGATGGTGGTACACGTTGGCCCTGTCGGTCACAGCGCCGGCAGATAACTATGGAACCATTACAGATTCCACAAGCGGTTTGATGGACAGATGGAGAAGTAGGATGAAAACTTTTGGAAAATTTCAGGACGCAAGTGAGAAAAGTTTTGACAATTCTCAAATTGTTTGTATTTGGGTCCACTGGATGGTATTGTGTTTCAGTCTATGGGCATTGAATAGAGGTGAGCATCAATCTTGATCCTGTATAACAGGAGTCGGCTTGAATGCAGTACACGTGGGACATGTGCACTGTTTCTTACTTTTTTGGTGGAGCATTGATCCTTCTTTTGCAAACTCTTATGTGAATGTACCTTGGGAATCATTAAGTAGACTTTCTACCGCAACGTAAGGTCCTATAGAGAGGCAAACATGAAAATAATATATGAATATGGAATAAAGAAGCAAATTTGAAGAGGTTTTATGACCCACGTTGGATAAATATGTGAAGGTTTCAGGAACCAAAGCAATGCCATAGAGCGGGGGGGTGGGATCCTTGGCACTCCAGCTGAGGTGAAACCACAAATACCATGCCTCTTGCCCTGGAGCCATGCCTGTGACTGTCAGAGTCTTCCAATGCCTCATGGGACTTGTAGTTGCACCACAGCTGGAGGGCCAAGGTTGCCTACACCTGTCATAGACAAAATACAGCTCAATGTCCTGTAGTCTAAAATGGCAGAAACATAGAACAGCAGCAATGTCACATCAATGTCATAACCTTATTTTCTGTGCAAGTATAAGGATGTTGCATGTGTATTTCGAAGCATAATATGTCCTTATCTTTAGGTTTGCTGGCCCTTTAAAGCTGAACTCCAGCCAGAAGGCAAGCACTAGTATATGCAAGGCACTGTCCCCCCAACACCCAACTTCACTACATTCCCAATGAATCCTGGTATATGTAGTTCTGGCTCTGGAACACATTATGTGTCATGTGACGCACCTGCGGATCCTCCTCCAGGTACCAGTGCAGACTACAACATTCGTGTTTTTTATGCGCATTGCCACAGGGGGCTATATGTGAAAAGTGGGCTAGATCCTGGAGTTCAGCTTTGAGTGTAATGTTATTTTGTTTGGCCTGGATAAAATAACTAAGAACGTCTCTTGCAAAGTCCACCTCCGTTAGCATTGTTCTCCCTACTGGGTGCTAAGGCAAACAGCTAAATACAAGGCCGAAATACATATATGGGAGCTGTTTTACAGAAGGATTTGTATTTCTGCCCCTCCAGTCCTGAGATATACACAGTTCTGTCACATAGCACAGCTAGCTCGGTGACCTGACATTGCTTTACTGTAGTTACATGATACAGCCTGGTTGTCTCCCCGCCTCCAGGTTGTGATTGGATAGTGAAGGAGCAGAATCACGCTGATAAGCTCCACTGATACTCCTTTCAGTACACCTGATTGGTCCCCCCCCCCCCCTCCTTTCTGGGGGATAGCATAGGATGTTACCAAATCAAATGAAGGTGCTTTAGGGTCAAGTTGTAATACATCTAATATAACTGCATTGACCGGTGTATTTTTTATATCTGTCCTGAGCACAGGGGTAAGCTCAAAGGACACTCCATGTCTTAAAGGAGGAAGTCAAAGATTGAAGCGCCATGCCGGAAGTTGATCATCCTGACGTGAATACACTCCAAAAAATGATAAAATGGACTCTACAGTACAAGCACCGCATATACTAGACTCAGTCCAGTATACACGATCTCTAATTTCAAGTCCTGAAGAAGTAGGAGTTTCCTGATCCCCCGAAACATATTGGTAATAAAACCTTGTATACTTTTCTGGAATCAATTTGAGTCGGACAATCAACTTCTGGTGTGGCGCTTCGATCTTAGACTTTGTCCATTACAAACAATGGAAACAGTGGCTATCCTTTGGTGCTGAGAAGCTCTGAATCCCAGAAGCCCAGAATCCAGAAACCTAATCCAAATGCTTCTCCTATATGAAGTAGGATAATCCTAAAATCCAGGGATGCCCTTCTGTGTGTCCTGAATTCCAAGTCATAGATCAGATGGGACATATCTCCAAGACATAGATCAGATGGGACATAACTCCAAGTCCTAGATCAGATGGGACATAACTCCAAGACATAGATCAGATGGGACATATCTCCAAGTCCTAGATCAGATGGGACATAACTACAAGTCGTAGATCAGATGGGACATAACTCCAAGACATAAATTAGATGGGACATAACTCCAAGTCATAGTTCAGATAGGACATAACTCCAAGTCATAGGTCAGATGGAACATAACTCCAAGTCGTAGATCAGATAGGACATAACTCCAAGTCATAAATCAGATGGGACATAACTCCATGACCCACCAGGTCCGAAAAGCAATGCTGTCTAAGGCGTCCATCCACTGGTATAGATGTCAGATGGCAGGATCCTGATTTGAAGTGCCACACTCGGTTTGATAGTCCAGATAAGTCTTCATTCAATGTAGAGTTGAGGGGACAGTATAGAAATATGCAACACATTGCTGGGGCTCATACAAATACCCCCTCTATCAGGGCTTACTAAGGGAGAACATGCATCATGACTGTGAGGGTTTATAATTAGATACTGTTTTGTCCAGCATGTGGGAATGCATAGAGCTCTTCAGCAGATGATCTGTCAGCTGGAATAAGTCTGGTCTGGTGGTAAAGGTTTATTGGTGATGGCTGAAAGGAAGATAGCATAGGGAACTCCATATACCCTCTCACCCCTCCCCATAAACTACACCCAATCATGTGCAATAAGGCACGTCTGTAGCCTTTCCTCTCTCTGGTTTTCTGAAGATGCATACTCATCATTATCAATGGTCTATCAGGCAAACTGGAAGCAAAACGCATGTGTTTTTTATGGGCTTTTACGCAGGAGGAAGTGTCTAACAAGGAGGAAGGGCTTGCTAGATGTAGCCCAACCATGCAAGTGTATGTATGTACATAATCAGACTGTCAACTGTGAGACCGCTCAGGAAAAGGAGGAAGCCAGGACGTAAAGGAACTCTCTGATGTACAGTACGAGGAACGGGATGTTCTGTACATCGGGGACTATATAAGGGTCATATGATCAGTTTGAGGACAATCTACTCTTGGCAAGCACGAGCTGGACATAAGGTGTGTCTATGAAATCATGATAATGTCCGGTACAGCTATAACATTCAAGAGGTCTTAAAGTGGACCTGTCGGTAAATGTACAAGTTCTCAAACTCAAAACTACATTTTGTCATTAAAAATCCCTATGTAGGCTCCATTCAGTGACTTTGCCAAGGCTCAGATGATATCTCGGAGTCATTTGTGATGTTGTCATTTCTCAGCAGCGAGATAACAAGCTCCTAATAAGCTGGAGACATAGACGCGTCATCGTTATACAGGGGTGGGTTTTAGTCCATGTTTTTTAACTTTAAAAAAATGATATATATATATATTAGGAATGCACCAATAATAGTATCAGTGCCGATACTGAGCATATGGGCAAGTACTCATACTTGCCCAAATGCTCCGATACTTACCCCGATACCGGAAGGTCCGGTCCGAGGGTGATTCCCTCTGACCATCAGTGCCACAAGGGAGCATGGAGCTGGCTTCCCAGACAATCGGGCTAGAAAGCCAGCTAGGCTAGGATTGGCTAGGAAGCCGGCTTCACGCTTCCTAGCGACACTGCGAGGCAGCCTGGCTTCCTGACCAATCAGAAAGCAGGGCGGCAGGTCATGACGCACCTCCCGGCTTCCTGATTGGCTAGGAAGCTGGCTTCATGCCGCCTAGCAACACTGCGAGGCAGCCTGGCTTCCTGACCAATCTGGAAGCTGGGCGGCAGGTCCTCACTCACCTCCCAGCTTCCTGATTGCTAGGAAGCTGGCTTTACGCTGCCTAGCAACACTGGCTTCCTGGCCAATCAGATGCTGGGATGCCGGTATCGGTACTCATTTTTGACAAGTACCGGGAAAAAAAATATCGGTACTCAATACCGAAAAACAGGTATTGATACATCCCTAATATATATGTATATGTATGTATTTTAGACCTAGCTGTTGTGAACAGGCTCTAACACTGAGGTGCTCAATAAAGCAAAGAATAATAGGGACTTACTAAGCAGCTTTGATGGCGACCAATCAGCTTCCAGCTTTCATTTTCAGATCTTTCTTCTGAAGGCTGTTGATACAAAGTTACAAACAAAGAAAGAAAAACCTCCTTGCGATCCATAGACCAGGAACAAAGTATCTGCTCTGGGTTTTGGGTTTTCATTCAGGAATCGCTGTAGTGCGCCAGCCCCCCACCTCTCCTATAGGTTGATCTGGGAACCCCCCTTTGCTTACCTCCTTTGAGAGTTCCCAAACACACCCACTGGAGCATGTACGTGGAAAGCCGCCTACGAGGAGCCGGATGTATCGGAATGTCGGTGCTAGGTTCAGCGGCGAAGCTTCATCACAGCCACCAGTCAGAATCAACGTTGCATTGGCTGGTGACTAAAAGACGGTTATTTTGGTGAAATTTATTTTGCTGTTTAAAATTTCACCTTTTTGGGGAAAAAAAAACCTCTCAATTCACTCATTGAGCTTGAAAAGACAAGTTCTCTTTTTCCCCTTTTTTACAAGGTGTGTAGGTGTTTTAAGGTAGTTAAAGTGTAACTGGAGCCCACATTTTTTTTTTTAGGTTTGGAAAGAGTGGAGAGTGATGAGACCCTCTGTCAGGTTTTTATTCACCCTTTCCAGGGGCGTCCCGAGGCTGGCTGTCACCCGGAGCGGAGAAGGGGTGACACCCTGCTGTGATGTCATCGCGCATGCGCGGTCATCTTATCAACGCCTGCCGCCAGCCATCTTGGTGATGGGTGCCTGGCAGAGAGAGGAGGGGACGTTCACCCGGCAGGATGAGGTATGCGGCCGGGTCCCGTGCTCTCTCCTGACACTGTCCGTGACCGAGTGCCCGACTTTTCATAGGGGGTGACACCAAAATGACGGTCAGTCCTTTTGGTGTCACCCCCTCCAATGGTGGCACCCAGGTGCGGGCCGCACCCCCCTTGTGACGCCACTGACCCATCTCTATGTGTCCTGGTGACCGTTATCAATGAAAGTGAAAGAAAATCCCAAATTTTGGGTTGTCCCCAGAACAGGAATCGATGGGAGATCTTCCAATGGGAACACTAGTCTTGGATGGATTTCCCCTCACTTCCTATTGTGGCTATCGGACAGGAAGTGAGGGGAAATCTGCCTAATGGGACACAGATGGGTTAGGACCGTCCGTTATTCTCTCTGAAACTTTAAAAAAAAAAGTTTGGGCTTCTACTTTAAGCTTATCTTATTTAGTGTTTTTTCCCCTTTGTTTGGTATTTGAATAATAATTGAGTACCGTCACTTTAAATGATTTAATTTACTATTTTTGCTGTCCCCCATAAAATATTGAAGCTAATGAGGGTTTGGATTTTTTTTTGGCAGAAGGATCTGGAAAGTGTTACTGTGGGTACATTTATTAAATTTTTGCAATAGGTGGACTATGCCTTTAATTCTCTCTCCGTATCATTCCTGCCTGCTCCTCAGATCTATCAATGGATGTCTGGTTTTTGTTGCCCAATACACATCAGTGTTCAGCGTTTTCCTCCAACCCATCCCGGGGACAGTCATTCGCATCCTCAATCTGCTGATCCCTCAACAACGTTGGCTGTTAGTTGATCTTAGTTGTCGCTTTTTATGTTTTTAATATTTAAGTATTTTGCCTGAGTTATAACCACATGTGTACTTTGTTGTTTGTTTTTGCCCTGCACAGCACTGAGTCTTATTGATCCGAGAAAAGGAAAAGTCACTATTTTTATGTAGAGTATTTAAATTTTTAGTAATGGTTCGATGTCGCACAGACTGTGCTCATGTTGTACTGTAAGATACCACATACTTGATTGGAAAAAAATAAATGCAATATAATTTAAATGGAGCGTGTGTGATCTGTCTTGTCTGATGCCGACTCATAGGGGTCTATTTATAAGCTATATGCAGAGCCATTCGCCCTCCGGATCTTTCTGAATGTTTGTTCTGTGTGAATAGATGCAAAAACGAACATTCTGAGATGTATTTTCCTTTCAGGTTCGAACATAAGTAATGTAATACTACATTACGGCCACCAGATGGCGCTGAGGAGCATAGGGGTCAAGTCTTTATTTCCTATGCTTCTCAGGTCTCTCTCTCCTCCTCCATGTTTCCCTCTTTTTTTTCTCTCTCTTCCTCTGTCTATTTCTCTACCTCTCTTTCGCTTTTCTCCCTCTCTTCCTCTTGCTCTCTCCCTATATCTTTCTCTCTCTCTCTCTTTCTCTACCTCTGTTGCTTTCTTTTCCTCTCTCTCTCTTTCTCTCATTCCTTTTCGTTCTG